CTGATGCGCCGCGCTGCAGTGTGTGCATGGCCTGAACCTCAATGAGGCACCTCAGCACGCAGCACAGAGCATGATACATACGTTGAATATCACGACTAGTCGCCTTCTAGCCTAGAGCACCCGCACTGTGCCCGCTCAGTCTCACCTGCCGCACGCGACGCTCAGCACGGCGCCTTGAGCGGAGTAGCTGCCCGGCAGCTGCCCGTGCGCCTGCCCCAGCCTGTGGTACTCTGTCCATGAGATCCCGACAAACACGCCCACCCCCCTGGCCCCGACGCGACCGCTCCCGACCAATGGCGGCGCTTCTGCCCTTGCCGACAGGGACCCGTCCGCGCCCTCTGTTGAGAAGCTGGCGAGCAGCTGCCCGGCGGCTTCCAGGAGGATCCGCTGCTGCGGGTCCGCCGCGGTGGCCTCGGCCGGGGACAGGCCGAAGGCGGAGGCGTCAAACAGGTCTGTGCCTTTCATGAATGCCCCAAACCTTGCAGCGCCAGCGGCTTCGCCGGCGGCCTCCGGCCAGCGGCCTGGCGGGATGGGCACGATGGTGTCGCCCACGGGCAGCGGGCCGAGGGGCGACGCTGCTGCGGCTGCTGCGGCGCCGGCCGGCCCCGCAGGGGCTTCGAGCGGGCGCAGCACGCTGCCGACGATGCACACCAACGGTGCCGCGGCAGGCACGGCCGCGCCGGCCGGCAGCTTCGCGAGCGGGGCCGCGGCGGCGGCGCCGCCGCGCCGGCGCCTCCCGCGCGTGGTGCCGACGGCGGCGCCCGTGCTGTCGCCGCCGCTAGTGGCTGCGCGGCGTGCGAGCTTTGCGGCGATGAAGTCGGAGATGGCGGCAGTGGTGGGAGCGTCGAAGACGAGGGTGGAGGGCAGGGGCAGCGCAAAGCGGCGCGACATGAGGTTGACGTACTCGACCGCCCCCAAGGAGTCCAGGCCGCCTGGGGGAAGGTGCAAGGATGTTGCGGGGTTGACGGTGATGCGGATAACGGGCTTTAGCCAGGCAAACCTTTTAATTGTATAAGTTATAAGTGCTATCACAGATTGTGGAGGGACGATCGAACTCCATGAGCGTTGCCTCGTACGAAGTATGCACCCAAAAGGCTTGCGTCTGCGCCAACAATCAGCACGGTGCGTTGTCCAACAAGTTGACCGGGTCAAACGGCGCTGTGCAAGGTCCCCCAACCGTTGCGCTCACCTGACATCAGGGGCTCATCAGGCCCCAGGTCACTGCCCAGCACCTCCCGCAGCGCCGCCTGAACTCCGCTCTGCACGTCCGCCGCGCTCCATCCGCCGCCTGCGCCGGCCTGGGCGGCGGCGACAGCGGCGTAGCGGCCAGCGCTGGGGCCGCCTGCAGTGTTGCTGACGTCATCATTCGGCAGCACCTCCTCGTAAAGGCCGCCGCTGACTCCCTGCGTTTCAAAGTTGTTGGTGTATGCGTTACGATTGAGTGAGTAGGCAGCACAGAGCCAGGAAACACAACACACGAGGTGAGAAGCGCGATACAGCAAACAGTGGGCCACCATGCTCAACGCACAGACTAGCAGCGCCAAACATCTGCCCTCAGTCTGTACGCAGGAAGCAGGGTGCCACAACCGATATCTGCGATACCGCATTGTCATCGCAGCCCATCCTACGCCCCAGTGCCCAACCTGCAGCACCGCGCGCTTGTACGTCGGCCAGTCAAACGGGTTGACCGTCACAACCGCGGCCGCCCTCGGCGCGCGCGCCGTCAGGCCCCTGAGCGCCGCCGACAGCGCGGCGAGGCCCGCCTCCGGCTGCAACACGCCCTGGCCAATTCTGTTGAGCCGATCTACCACCGCCTTTGACGCCATCCCCGCCGCCGCCCACGCCCCCCACTGGACGCTGATTGCCGCGACCCCTGAGCCCCGCGCCGCGCCCGCCCATGCGTCGAGCGCGGCGTTGGCCGCGGCGTAGTTGGCCTGGCCGGCCGCGCCGACGAGCGCCGCGACGGAGCTGAACAGCACGACGGCGTGCAGCGGCCGCCGGGCGGCGGCGGGCGGCGGCGCGAGGCCCCCGCCGGCGGAGGGGTGCGCGGCGCCGAGCTTGGGCGCGAGGACGGCGCGTAGGCCGGGCAGCGTCTGGTTGGGCAGCATGGCGTCCTGATTGAATATATTTTTAGGAGGCAGGGTTGGATATCTCAGTGACGCGGATCTGTGTCATGCTTAGTCAATGAACACCACAATCAGGGTAGTGGAGGTGTCTGCCAAGATGATGGGGCGCCCAGGTGATGGTAGGCGTCTCTGTGCACTGCCGGAGGCGAGCTGGATACACACACGCCTGTGACCATCCCAAGCCCTCCCGAGTCTCGTCAGGGGCCACCCAAAAGCACCTGCAGCACGCCCGCCGCGTGCAGCACCGCGTCAGCGCCGCCGACCCTCCGCCACGCGTCCGCCGCGTCCGCTGCGCTGCCCGTGTCGGCCGCCGCCAGCGTCACCATGACGTCACCGCTCAGGCCGGCCACAAGCTGCCTAAAAGATTGCTCGGCGTCCAAGCCGGCGGGCCTGCCGCGGCGGCCCAGGAGCGTGATACGCCGCACCTGGCCGGTCGTGGCCAGCCAACGCGCCATTAGCAGCCCCAGGCCGCCGGCGCCGCCGGTGACGACCACGCTCGCGCGCGCGGCCGCCGGCGCCGCCGGCGGCAGCAGCGGCCCGCGGGGTGCAACCGTGAGGACCTTGCCGCTGTGCGTCGCTTGCGCCAGCAGCCGCAGCGCCGCGGCCGCGGACGGCAGCGGGTACGCGGCGCCGCGCAGCGGGCGCGCTGCGCCGGCCGCGAGTCGGGCTGCGAGGCGGCACATCTGGGCGCCCAGGATTGGGGGCGGCAGGAAGTCAACGGCGACGAAACTATAAGACACATCGGGGCGCTGCCTGTGGTTGGGGGTGTTGAATGAGGGCAAGCGGTGGAGTGGTGTGATATTCAGCCAGTTGCACCGCCGCTCTCGCCTGCCGCCGCATCCAAGCCGGCGTGCGTTAGTGCCCTGATTTGCAGGTCATCTGCGGCACGACAGCACAAGGCCCTGCGCGTTGCCGGCTTGCGAGCATGCGATACATCGAAAATCCCCCCCAGAAACCATGGGCCCACCTTGCCACCGCGGCACCGCTCCAGACGTCGCGCTTGCCGATCTCCACCAGTCGCCCGCCGCGCCGCAGCAGCGCCAGTGCGCCCCCCACCATGCCCGGTGACGTCAGCGAGTTGAGCACCACGTCCGCGCCGCCGGCTGCCACCGCCAGGTCGCACGCAAAGCCTGTGTCACGGCTGCCGATCGCATGCGCCACGCCCAGGGAGCGCAGCAGCGCACGCTTGGGCGGCGCGCCGGCCGTGCCGAGCGCCACAGCGCCCGCCGCCTCCAGCACCTGCAGTGCCGCGAGGCCCACGCCGCCAGCCGTTGCCTGCACCAGAACGCGCTCGCCGCGGCCAACGCCCGCCACCTAGATCAAAAGAAATCGGCGGTTGGATGAATAAGGGCGCGGCCCGGCCCGGCATGAGCGGACAGGCGTGCGCGCGTTTGTGTCTGCTGCATTGCTGGCATGCGTGCGTATGCAAAGCAGAAGAGTGAAGCGATCCCAATCAACAAGGGCGCGCGCACCTGGCCGAGGGCTACTTCGACAGTGGCGGCCACAGTGGGCAGCGTCGCCGCCTCGGAATGGTCAAACCCTGGCGGCAGGGCGGCCAGCATCTCGGCGTTCCCGAGGACGGCGGTGCCGAGGCAGCCGTGGGCGAGGCCAAAGGCGGCGGCGCCGGGGGCGAGGTGGTGCACCCCGGGGCCTGCAGCAGGCAAATTGGTTTTTGGAGGTGAGGTGGGGGTTTGAAAGTGAGGCCGTCAGCTGGGCACAAGGCAACATCCAAAACAGCAACGTGTGCAAGGGGTGAAGTGGGGTGGGGGGAACGCGGGACATCAGATTGAGTGTAGCGCAGCGTGTGCATGCCGGCAAGCTGAACAGCAACGAAGATCACAGACAGGGCGGCCAGGTGTCTCTTTTGATGTTGCAAGAACAGTCGGGGGGCTTCTCACCGACAGCCAGAACGACGCCGGAGCAGTCTGAGCCAGGGGGGCCGGGGTCACCAGGGTACATGCCCAGGACCTGATGCGTGGGTTTGAGTGCAGGCAAGCAGATGGGTGTGTGGGTGAGTAGTGGGGGTGCATGGTTGTGTTCAGGAAGTTTGGGGGGGTGACTGTGGTAGGCCGTGAGTGAGTGGGTGTTCAAAGTCAGCCAGGAGCAGTGACATTATTCATAAGCTGCCAGGTATGACTTGACAGCGAGACATTTGGTAATCAGAGCGCTTCACTTGGTTGGCTCAAGCGAAAACGAGCCTGGAACAATGCCGACAAGAGCCCCCTCTTCTCACGTTGAGCACGTCCCGGAAGTTGAGGCCCACAGCCTTCACAGCAAGCAGCACCTCCCCAGGGCCAGGCTGCATCTGCGGCAGGGGCGCGCCGCGTGCGGTGCAGAGATGGAGGCATTCGCATTTCAGAGGGCAAGTTGATGTGCGATTTGAACTAGGAACAAGACAGCCGGGTGATCGATGTCAGCAGGACTGAAGTGACTCGCCCGTTTGTTGCTGCCCCAGGCCACTTGGTGCGAGCGCTGCGCAGTCATTGGTCATGCAGCTCGTGGATGCAGCCACCCTAACCAAGTGCTGGCTGCACGTCTACCTCAGCCCTCAATAAATCACCAAATCCAAAGTAACAGGCCAAAACCCTCACCTCAGCGGGGTCCACCGCGCGTGCCACCAGATTGGCCAGGGAGCTCCGCGGCTCCGGCCGCACCTGGAACCACTCCGCTCCCTCGGTCGCCGCGCTGGGCAGCAGCCGCGGCACCGCCGCCACGCCGCCCGCGAGCGCAAACGACCCCGCGAGCCCGCCGCTGTGCGTGGGTGCGGGCGCGGCGGGGTCCTCGGGCGCCGCGTCCAGGCGGGCGGCGGCGGGGCCGGTCGCGGCGGCGACAACGACGCGCACGCGTGCGTCGGGGGTCTCTGTTGCCGCGGTGCGCAGCAGACCCCACACGCTGGCGGGGCATGCCCCTGCGGCTCTGCCCGCCCGATCCTCTGCGCCGACGAGGCCAGGGCAGCAGCCGTCAGCTGCCATCCCGAGGCGCGCCTTGAGATTTAACCCTCCCCGCTGCGCTACTGAACCGCCGAGCTGCTGCAGTGCGCCGAGTGCCGCGGCCGCGGCCGCCGTCGCCGAGCCGCCGCCGGCCCGGACTCGAAGGCTGCACGCGGATGCCGCGGCTGCCGCGTCAGGAACCGCCGGGCGCTCGGCCGCGCCGCCGTCCGGGGTCACAGCCGCGGCCGAGGCTGCGTGCAGAGTGATGTCACCGCCGGCTGCTGAGGTGGCAACGAAGAGAGTGGGAGGTGGAAGGTGCTGCAAGCTGGTCGCTGGTGCAATTCTTGCGCCGGGAGGGCGCCAGATTTTGGACAGCTCAGGATATTAGTAAATGCATGCTGGGTAGGACCAGTCTGCGACCCAGCCAGCCAGCCAGCCAGTGGTCAGCCAGCCAACCTGCCAGCCAGCCGGATGCGACGTGACTCATCGGGATGCAGCGGAGTCTAAGATTCGGGCTCACCTCCGTCGCCGGCAGAGTACAAGGGGGCTGCCGGGTCGCTGACCGCCCACACGACCTCGTAGCTGGCCCGCGGCCACTCCTCATCTCCTCCGCCGCTGGCGCCCTC